CCCGTTAGTATGGAGAATTCAAACGTGGACGGGTGAGTCTTAGCGACGATCCCAGGGTGGGTGCACCAAAAATGGCAGTCATCCAGGAAAACGTCGATGCTGTGCGCAAACTCATCATTGAAGATAGACATGTGACATATCGCGAGATTGAGGCGTCCTTGAAGATCTCAAAGACCTCAATTCAAACAATTTTACATGAAGAATTAGGAGTAAGAAAATTAGTTTCTCGTTGGATACCCCACCTGTTAACTAAAGAGCAGAAAGCAGCCAGGGTTAATTGGTGTCAAAAAACGCTTGACCGTTTCAATTCCGGAAACTCAAAAAATTTGTACAATCGTGGATTTACTGTTACGAACCAGAAAATAAACGACAGTCGGCTGTTTGGATGTTCCAAGGTGAAGAAAAGCCAACAAAAGTCATCCGTTCTCGAAGTGTTTCGAAAAAGATGGTCGCGGCATTTGTGTCAAAAGCGGGTCATATTGCAACAATTCCTCTTAATGAGCAAAGAACTGTTACTGCGGATTGGTATACCACCATTTGTTTGCCAAAAGTCATCACCGAGCTTCGAAAAATCAACCCCGAAAGCAGAATCGTCAGGGCGAAGCAAGCTCGCGCACAACCCAAAAAACAAGGCAGTATTTAACGGAAGAAAACGTGGAATTATTGGACCATCCTCCATATAGTCCCGATCTAAGTCCTAACGATTTCTTTACTTTCCCAAAAATTAAAAACAGACTGCGTGGTCAAAGGTTCCAGACCCCAGAAGAAGCAGTTGACGCATTCAAAAATGCCGTTTTGGATCTGCCAGCAAACGAGTGGAATAAGTGCTTCGAAAATTGGTTCGATCGCATGCAGATGTGTATTAATCTTCGTGGAGAATACTTCAAAAAACAATAAAGTCATTTAAAACTACCTACCGTGTCGTGTTATTGCCATATACAAAACTTAAGACATCCCACGTACATGCTGCTTTCGTTCATCCGACCAAAGACAGCCAGCCACAGACAGTTGTTCGTGTTTTTTTATAACTCATCAGCATAGTCTAGGCTTATTCGCTGGGCACAACGAACGAAAGCATAGCAACTATCCTCTATCTAGGATATAAGGTCGATGGCTATAAGGGCTAACTTATGCTGAACATAATCCTTTGACAGCATTGCATGGGAAGTGTAGAGTCAACCTCATTTTTTAAATGGTCCAGCATATAACTTGTTATATCAATACAATCTGCACTGATGTGTACGTAGCAAATCTTGAAGCACATCAAGCAAGTTCGACAGATACTCCATTATGCTGGAAGGTATCAAGAAGATACACAGCCCTAAGGCGTTTACCGCGTAATTCTGTAGCAATATATCTTCGAGTTAATTAAACTCGAGAGGATTTGTTCCTGTTAAGCCGGCTTTTGACTGACTAATAAGTCCGTACGAGATGTGGGTGAGACGAGGGGTAGCGGAGTTGAGATGTGAACTTCGGTTCAAGTACCTCGTGTGGCCCAACTTTGCATTTTCTTGTTTTGGATACAAACATGTGAACTTCGCCGTGCTTATCGATCTTTCGTTGGAATGCTAGATTCAAATATGGCTTTAAACAAGTTCTTAGGCACCATGGAGCTGAATCTGAGGCGAGTACCTGTAGATTCTCACTGATATTATTGTAAATATGCAGGAATTTGTTATGTTTGTTATCGAAAAAAATGGCGTCAAGTAGATTGACCTTATACATGCTACACCTACGTTGCAGGTTTCAAAGAAAAGGGATTAGTCAAGTCGTTTCAAAAGGCGTAATATAATCGTGACTAGGTAGGTTCACTTAGATACGATGAATCTTCGACGTTTATATATCAAGCTATATAAACGTATTTCTGTGCCCATAGCTAAAACATGTGTGATGCTGATTGAAACTTATTCCGAGTTATGAGCACATTATACGTCGGACCTTTATCATTTAATTTTCCCGTTGTTACCGGGTTCACGAGCTTCTTATCAACAGAACGTCTTTGACTGATACTAAAGACATAACATCTACAACTCCCGTCCCCTACAATAACCCCAAATCCCCAATTTTCAACCATAACACATTTTTTTTAAAGGATCAGGAGGCCCTGAAACGTCAAATTACGAATTTTGGCGATTTTTTTTTGTTTTCGGCCTGTTCCTCTGCCGCCATTGGACCAATTTTCAAAAACTACAAAGCTTTTGGCATAGTAGTAATATTGTATAGAAATTTCATCAAAATCGGAGCGGTACTTCTCAAGTTATAGGCGGTTATAAGATTCGCGTTCAGTTCGACAGACAGACCGGCGGAAATGAGTGACATTGTTTTGCTTGATGTACATGTTATATAACATCCAAAAAACTCAATAGCGAGTAGTCCGAGTCTGTTATACCGCCCAAATCCTCAGCCTCTTGCGGTCACAGTATTGACTGAGCTATCAAACACGAAGTGGGATCTTTACAAATCCAACCGCTGACTGCTATACACTCTCACAGTGCTCGATTCTGGTAGTAGATGGCGCTTTACGCTGTCTTATAGCCTTCTGTAGAGAATCTAGCTAATTTATGTTAGTTATAATGTAATGAAGAATCAAGTTATTTTCCGCTTTAAGTCATTTTGATTAATGCTGGTTCTTGTTAGAATTGTGTACTCAGGCTAATAATTTTCTTCCAGGCTCCAGAAGCTCTACCCCCTGCTTCCTTTTCTCTTGGCTACCACTTGGAGCGAACACTCTTCCTGCAAGAAATCAGAGTTCCAGTGCATCAACGGCGATTGCATTTGGTCCAATAAATATTGCAATGGGATCCAAGATTGCCATGATGGGAGCGACGAAATCGTTGGATGTACTCGTAAGTATTTCTTTATTACTCAAAATCAAAATAAATTTAGTAATATTTCTGTTGTATGACTTACATAGGTCAGGAGTATACAAGTTTATACAGATACAGACTGTATGTAGATATCATCGCAAACACATATTGAAATCCAAAATAGTTTGTTAAAATACTCATCCAGAGAGTATAATCGATTTCTTATAAATACATTTTTAAGTTTTTTAAAACTCTTGTAGCTTTTACATCTGCTGGTGAAATTTTTGTATCTCAATAACTCGAGCCATCTTGACACCTTCTCAGCCTGAGATACCTGAGATTGAATATGCCCTTATTCCTGGTATTATACGGATGAATATGCTGTTGTGTTTCAAATTGTGACAGGTGCAGTTTACAGTATACACCATGTATAATATACCGTTGTATACGCGTAAATAATGGTGAATATATATTCACGTATAAAATGTATATAATGTATACAATAGCAAATCATAGTTCAACTACTTGCATATAATGCTGGCGAAAGTCCCTTTCCCTTTTAGATTTCCATGTGTACGAGGAAGAGAGAGAGGGGACAAGCGAGCACCACTTGTGTAGAAAGAGTGCGCCACACACCACGTTGTCTGGCACAACAGTGATGAAGGCCACATAACACAACTGTAACTTGCTGCAACGCCTTATTTTCTACGCTCAAATACATATTTCTGTCGAATCTGCTTGGGATCAATTCCAGATCGATCCTAATGGTTCTGTGATTTTAGGTGAAAGTGAAAGTTCAGGATTTAAATAAATTAAGAACAACAAATGAACCCTAGTTCATCAATTTCTTTGTTCTTGTAGTGTCCAACCATATTTTTTTTAAGTTGTCAGTTCACTGTTTACGAACTTTCTGACGTTTGCGAATAAACCTAACCTCACTTATGCTAATCTATACATTGTCTTCATCATTGTATACATTGTATTCATTGTATACGCAATGTATAGACGTAGACAATTAATGTATACGCGTAAACGCCCATCACTGATCCGTGCCCCCAGACCAACACAGCGTAAGTTAGGTGGAGATGGAATACAGCAAAATAAGCTGCTCTCAGTGGACTTTAATATAGAAACGCAGTTTTTCAAATTTCGTTTAACAAAAAGATTTAAACTTAGCTTCTTTGCAGTGACGTCAATGTGGACATTACATTTTAATCCAGCATCAAGGTGTACCCCAAGAAACTTGATCGTACTGACACTGTTGGATGAATCAATATTTCTAGATGGAAAAGTCATTTCCACAGTTTTTTTTTATTCATCAGCAGCTTATTAGCAGTAACCACTCCTCAGCCTTACAACACACCATCTGTAATTTTCTGAAGAATTTCTCAAAAGCATCTGCAGTAGAAGAAAGAGTTGTATCTTCCACAAAAAGCGTGTATCTATAATTTGGGGGGCACCGCACGCTACCCTACTTTTTGCTGATGATAGTCCAGCAACCTTGACTATCTGTAATCGGTCTTGGAGAAACGATTTCCGGAAATAGATGCTGTCCTCACTGAGACTGTATGCTTCCAATTTACTAAGTAGTAAAGAATTGTCAATAGAGTCGAACGCGTTGGCCAGATCACAGAATAGGACTGTACTATACTCATGATTGTGGAAACCTTTTAATATTTCAGAGATTAGGTTCAATATTAGCTTTGTATCCCGCGGTTTTACCCGCGGAACATGTGTAACTAGCCACAGGTTCTGGAAATCGCACCTGTAGAGACTCCTTCAAATGAAGGGTGGGTCGAAGCTGAAACATCCAATAAAATGCGACGAAAATCATTCGACAATGTGAATACGACTTTTTGGATGAGCGCATCCGTAACAGCGAGTATGTTAAGTAAACAAAACAACTTGAGAGAAAGAAATAATGGGCGCTGGCGGAATTCGAACCCGCATTTCCCCCATTTCGTGGAGTCGACCTTTCTAATTAGTTTACAGCACCAGCTGCCAACCAAATTTCAAGTTCGACTGCTAGAAGCAAATTCAGTCCTACCCACGCCATTGTTCCTTTGTTCTTGCAAGCTGCTTGGTACCCCATCTGGTGGCGTTCAAGCGAAACAAACCGGATTAGTAAGGTATCTCCAATCGCTTTCCAGTTGCACCACGCGGTCTCGAGATCGTTAAAGTAGGTTGGCAGCTGGTGCTCTAGACTAATTGGTTAGGTCAGTTCCATGAAATGGAGGAGATGCGGGTTCAAATCCCGCAGGTGCCCATATGCGTTCCTCAGGGATCTATTTTGGGTCTAGTGTTGACCTCCTTATACCTTACTTTATATCAACCATTTAGAAGATTGTTCTTCTGAAGACAGGTTCTCTTAATGCGAATGATACTTCAGTTGTTATATCGAACCAATGCAACGCTACATTGTGGAGGAACTGAATTAGAAACTTTACATCAATGTTGGTATCTGAAAAATAACAGTTGGAACACAAGCAAAATTTTTTAGATTATATACAAGCCTGAATTTCAAAGAACATTGTGAGAATCAAGTCTCAAAAATTAGTTCCCAAACTTATGTCATCAGAGATCTAAAAACAGTTCTATGGGAGTGTCAGATAGTTGCTATTTATTATACACACGTCGAATCGAAATTAAGATACGGTTTGTGTTTCTGGGGCTTGTCAGCTAACGCTTAGCAGATATTTTTGAACCAAAAAAGAGCAATTCGATATATTGCGAGTGTCCACAGGTTATATTCGTGCAGGTAAAGATATTTTTAGACGACTAAAAATTTTCGCGATACCCTAATCTTTTTTATACGAACTATCTGTGTATGTTTTCACTAACAGAGGTAAGTTTTTAATTGATACATTTCGTACAACCAGACACGTTAGTCACTTGAATGTGGCTTTTGGCGAATACAATGTTGGAATGAAATTGCCCGATATACTGGAACTTAGAATATTTAATGAGCTATCAGTTTGAAACTGATTTGAAAGAATATATTATATCTAATATCGACGGAAATGAGTGACATGGTTTTTCGTGATGTGCATGTCATACAACATACAAATAACATATTATCTCATTTTGAAAGTTTTTCGCTATCCTCACCACTCGGAAGTATAAGGATCGGATACTAGCAGCTCTTGGGGTATTACACAAAACTCATTATAATTAACATCAGCCTAGATCTTGCTATCGCCAGTGTGCAGGCGAGTTAAGTCAGCCGAATTCGAGTCGAATCACCTAGCTAGCAGGCATTTTTGCGTCAAAGCAAAGAGACAACCGGCCAAAAAGGGCCATTTAAACAGCGCTAAGCTGAGCAGGGAAAACCCAGCAGCTTTTTCTGGCTGGTCCTCTATGGTGCTTAACTGCCATTTAACGAGCTCTATTTCTGTTAGAGCCTGTTAGAGCGTTGACGTTTATTCGGCCATTTATCCTTTCCTGACTGCCTTTCTCCACAATACCGACGGTTTTTTGCTGCTCAGTTTTTAAATGCGCTTTTTTGTGCGCGGCTAGAATGGCTGTGGTAATGGTTTTCGGTACAGTCGGGACATAAGGTCTGCTGAAAAATATTTTTTCACTGCACACACACTGCACAAGTAGATTGACTATACGTCCTACGCCTTCGTTGGAGGTTTCAGTGAAAAGGAATGTGTCAAATCGTTTCACAATGCGAGTGAATATTCGACCTCTGCATATCAAACTATATAAATCAAGTCTCTTATATTTCTGTTTTGCGAGGCAGTTGAAGCGAGAAATGTGTGGCTTAGTGAATCTAACAGGTGCTATACCTCATTCGCAGTTCATTTACGCCCAGACAAAACACAACATGCCCAAGAGCGAGATTGTACAGGTCCGTATTTTCTTGGAATAATCTAACAAAATAAATGATTATCTTTATAGAAAAAAGTGCACATGCTTTTCACAATTCTTTATTCGCTGGAAGTACTTGAATTATCGTCCGAATGGTTAATATTAATTATTACAGGTTCAATTTGAATATCGATCATATTGTCCAGATCCCACATCTTTGTTTCGATTGTCTCTAGAACGTGACGGATGCAATCTTTACAATAGTTTGCCGTCACTCTGTTGACAGTTTCATAAAACAAATTTTTCATATCAGAAAATTTTAATGTTCTATTGCTTGAAGCCACATAGTTTTTTATATTTGCCCAAATCATTCCAATGGGATTTAATTCGCAGTGATAAGGGGCTAGCCTTAAAACGGTCTTATTTTGGTTTTTAGCCATTTCGTCAACAACATTAAGATTATATTTATATTTGTGCTGCCTAGATGGATAAGTTCTGCTTTGACGATATTTTCATTGAAACTAATGTCTTTTGATAGAAGCCATTGTTGAATTTATGCCTTTCTTGTGAAAATTGTGGGAACTTTTGGGAGCGTTTCTTCAAGCGATCGTTTAAATGAACTCCCGTCCATTTCTTCATGGTAGTCGATCGTTTTCTTTGACTCAAATGCCCATAGGGCAGTGAGCACAAAGCTATCTTCACTGCCAATGTGACAGATAACAAGTCGTTTTCCTTTTCCTGGAAATAAATATTTCATATAGTATTCAAGAAAACTAATAATACAGGTAATACAAGCACACTATCTAACAGGTGTTGGTTCCGAATCTACCAGATATAGCTAAGTTTAGTGTAGCTAAGTTTTCAGCGTGGGCTCATAGATTCAGTTACTTGACACCATTTGTACAACACAAATGACGAATTGGTTAGATACACGTACCTGACGGATTCTTTAGGCCAGTGGTTGGTCCATCTAAGAAGGCTTGTCTTGCTGATTTGATTGTAGAGTCAGTCCATACTTAAGGTTTTGTATGTCCCGCATGTATCCAGATTTCACCCAAGTAATAAATCTTCCTGCCCCGGTCGCGGTATTTCTTTATTGATTTTAATTAATTTCTTCCCCATAAAATAATCTCTTGGCTGTCCATCAAAATACTATTTCTGCCCCGTTTTCTATTCTCAAAATGAAGTTCTTTGAGTAAACTATTGAATTTGATCCTTTTGAAAGTAGGTAAGTCTTCATCACTATTAACCTCCTGTAATACTTTGTCTATGGTGGGAAGTTCCTGCCTTTCAAAAAATTGATCGACTTTGTGTCTGATGGCATTCCGATCAAAGCTTTCAAATGTTGAAAATTGTCTTAAGCCTGTTTTGTTTGCCATACGTTTTTCAATATCATGAATTTTCATTTCAGAATGCTCTAAAATTTCGCTCTTATAAACGTTAAGGACGATTTCTTTTGCCTGAATATTGAAATATCCCTTCTTGTCACGTTTTCGGGGAGGAGGCATCACTGAAGAGGAACCATGACTGAAGGATGCATTGGGAGAAATATTCTGTTTCATCTGCTGTATCCGTAGACGACATGCTAACCGAATATGAACAGCAACTGACGGCATCGGCGTGCCGGCGATATCCCGAGCCTGAGTTCTATCCTATCGAATCCTGCACTTGTTCGTTGTTTTATGATCAATAGCTAATGCAACGCTTAGGTGGATGCCGCTTTGCCGCGTTGCATCTCTGTTGTGCCTTGGCGTAAATGGACTACGAATAGGGTATAGTATCAGTGAGATCAGCAGCTTCTTAATAATAAAAGGTCTTCCACTGAAACCAAATATGCAACAATCTACAACCATTTACCGCATATAGCTTCCAACCTACAATTTTCATCCCCTTCAAACAATGTCTGAAGATGAGCAGGATTCTCTGAAACGTGGTAACACTATGTTGTAGCGATTTTATTTCCGAAGCCTCTAAATCAATTTTCAATATCTCCGACTACCTTAACGTTTGAAGTATTCAGAGAACCATTATAGATAGGGTAATACAAATTAGAGGTTAGGCGAAACGAGTGGCATATTCAAGGATCATAAAATTCGGAAAAATACAGGGTATAAACGTTATGGTAGTCATTACTGAAATGGGTAATAGGGGGGTCAAAACAAATCAAAAAATTCATATGACCTATGTCCAAAAGTCAATAGATTTTTGTCTAAATGGCTTTATAGTTTACGACTTTAAGTGCTTTATATCGACCACAATCACCACAATCTTACTAATTTTTATAATCTAATCTAAAACGTTTTTCAATTGGGTAATTAACAAATAAAGGGCAATAAATTTTTCTAAGTTAAGCCAAAATTTGTAGTCAGTAAGTAAGTAAGTTTCATTAAATTGAATATTTAAAACACACATGATAACAGCGCATCGGTTTTTCATCCTTAGACCTTAGACAACATGCCATTACAACGGAGACAGAGTTTGTGGTTTCTTCATGACGGGGCACCACCACACATTTTTAGAGGCGTCATTCAGTATTTGAATGAACATTATCCAAATCGCTGGATCGGTCGATGTGCTCCTGATCCTCGAAAATGGCCAGCAAGATCTCCTGACCTTAATCCGATGGATTTCTGGTATTAAGGAGAACTTAAAGGGGTGGCTTATGGGGCTGGTCCAATAACAAGTGAAGCACAACTTCGCGAAAAAGATTTTAATGCGGTTGAAATAATAAATGGATAACTTCGAGGACCTAGAGTAAGAAGAAACTTGTAAGTTGTAAGTAAGAAGTTTGTGTGGAAAGCGGAGGATGACATTTTGAACACCTTCTTTAAGTACAAAAAAAAGTGCAGTGTGGGTTTTAAAAAGAAAAACTATGTATGTATCAAAATTATGTTCCCTATTTATAAAGTGGCTTTTGTGATACGTTCAATAAACTTTCACACACCAGGTGAAGCGCTGAGACAATTAGTGGTAAGTCCGTTTTTTTTGTTTGCATTTTACGAGTACATAAATCAAATAATGAAATAATACCTCTTTATTTACACTGCGTTCCGCCGTAATTTGCGTCTGGCATTGCGACGTTGTCAGGTTTTATTTTACTTTAAAGGCGCTTTTCTCTAAAAAAATGCCGTTTCGACCCCCATGTTATATGACACTTTTTGCTTCTCTTAACCCCTCTATCATCCATTGAAATAATAACTATCATAACATTAACACTCTGTATATGTATAGATATAAAAACAGTTAAGTCAACAATATTGCTATACTGTAACTATCTACAACTGTAATGACTCATACGCGTGATCAGATCATGACCGCAGCCGGGCGACACCACGGAACGGCTGTCGAGAGGCGTTAGGCTAGAACAGGGTGGTACGAGGATGTCTTTTAAGTTTTGCATATAGAAACATATTTAATCAAATTCAAGCGGATAACCAAATGGAAATGGTATTT